AGATTTTAAACGAATATTGAAAAACGACATTAATTATTACTAGACCCGATATTGATGATTTCCATTCTGACAACTGTGAGGTGTTACCTCATTGTGGTTTAATTTACAAGTCTCTGATAACTAATGATGTTGAGCATCTATTCGTGTCTCTTGGCCATTTGTGCTCATTTTTTAATTGTATTGTTTGTTTTTGTGTTTAGTTTTACAAGTTTTTTGTTTTTTGTTTTTATAAATTTGGGAGATTAACCTCTTAACAGCTTCATTGACAAATATGTCCTCCACTCAGTGGGTTGTCTTTTCATTTTGTTGATACTTTGCTGTGCAAAAACTTTTTATTTTGTTGTGGTCCCACTTGTTAGTTTTTTGTTTGTTTGTTTCCCTTGGCTGAGGAGATAGAACAGAAAAATATTGCCATGAGAAATGTACAATATTTTACTGCCTATGTTTTCTTCTAGGGTTTTTATTGTATCAAGTCTAACATTTAAGTCTTTAACTCATTTTTAATTCTGTGTGTGGTAAAAAGAAGGTCATCCAGTTTCATTTTTTGCATGTATATGTCCAATTTTCCCAACACAATTTATTGAATAGTCTATCTTTACCCCATTTTATGTTTGTGCCCTTTATATCAAATATTGACTATAAAGGCTTGGGTTTATTTCTGGGCTCTCTGCTCTGTTCTCTTGATCTATATTTCTATTTTTATGCCAGTACCAGGCTGTTTTGATTACTAAAGTTCTTGTTGTATTGCTGGTTATCAGCTAGTGTGATTCCTCCAACTTTGTTCTTTCTCAAGATCACTGTTGCTATTTGGGTTCTTCTATGGTTCTACAAAAAATTCTGGAATATTTTTTCTAGTTCTATGAAATGTATTATTGGTATCTTGATGAGAATTGTATTGAATCTATAGGTTGCTTTGGTATTTGGACATTTTAATAATGTTATCTCTTCCTGTCCATGAACATGGTATATACTGTCACTTATTTGTATCATCTTCAGTTTCTTTTCTTCATGTACAATTTTCCTAGTACAGGTCTTTTATATCCTGGGTTAAAGTTATTCCTAGGTATTTAATACTTGTTGAAGCAATTGTGAATGGAATTGTGGGTGTTTTTTGTTTTTTGTTCGTGTGTGTGTGTGTGTGTGTGTGTGTGTGTGTGTGTGTTCAGCTTCCCTTTCTAATATTCATTATTGGTATATAAAAATGCTACTGATATTTATGTTGTATCCTGCTACTTCACTGAGGTCTTTATTAGTTCAATTAGTTTTCTGGTGGAACTTTTAGTGTTTTCTATATTCAGTATGATGCCATCTGCAAAAAATGAAAGTTTTACTATTTCTGTTCCATCCTGAATGCCTTTTATTTCTTTTTCTTGTCTGAGTGATGCGGCTAGAAGTTCTAGTACTATATTGAACAAGTGTGGTGAAAGTGGACATCCTGTCTTCCCAAACGTAAGGGAAACATTGTAGCTTTTTCCCATTGAGTGTGATGTTGGTTGTGGGTTCTTCATATATGGCCTTTATTACATTGAGATATGTCTCTATTCCTATTTTACTAACAATTTTTATCATATATTGGTGCTAGATTTTATCAACTGTTTTTTCTGCATCAATTGATATGCTCATGAGGTTTTTATCCTTCCTTTTGTTCTTGTGGTGTTTCACATCTATTGATTTGCAAATATTTTACCAACCTTGCATCCTCGGAATAAATCACACTCGATCATGGAGTATGTCCTTTGTATGTATTTGTATGTATTGGTGGATTCAGTTTGCTAAAAGTTTGCTGAAGATTTTAACATCTTTGTTTTTCAGGGATATTGGCCTGTAATTTTCTTTATCGTGTCTTTATCTGGTTTTGGAATTAGGATAATGCTAGCCTCATAAAATGACTTTGGGAATCTTCTATTCTCTTGCCTTTTTTGGAATAGTTTGAAGATAGGTGTTTTTTCTTCTTTGAATGTTTGCTAACATTCACCTGTAAACCATTCTGTTCAGGGCTTTTGTTTGTCAGAGTTTTATTTTGTTTTATTTTATTTTTTTTCCATTTCACTAGTTTTATTCTATCTATTAAGGTTGTTGGATTTTTTCTGATTTGTTTTGGAAGATTTTATGTTTTTAGGAATGTACCCATTTTATCCACTTTGGCCAATTTGTTGGCATATATCTAGTTGCTTGTAATAGTTTCCTATGATACTTGATATTTTTGGGGGGGTCAGTTATTTATCCTTTTTCATATCTGATTTTCTTTCTTGCTTTTTTCTTGTTGAGTCTGATTAAAGTTTTGTCAATTTTATTTATCTTTTCCAAGAATATGCTTTAGGTTCCATTGATCTTTTGTATTGTTTTATTATATCCTATTTTGTTCATTTCTGCTCTGATCTTTAATATTCACTTCCAGCTCACTTTGGACTTTGTTGTTGTTCTTTTCCAGTTTCTTTAAGTATAAAGTTAGATTATTTTTTAGAGATTTATCTCTTACTTGAGGTAGGACAGTAATGCTGTGAATTTCTTTCTTATGCCTGCTATTGTGTCCCACAGATTTTGGGTTGTTTTGTTGTCATTTTCATTTGTTTCAAGGTATTTTTTGGTTTCTTCCTTGATTTAATTTTTTGTCCATTTATTATTAAGTAATATTATTTAGCCTCCAAGTCTTTGTTTTTCAATTTTCTTGAAATTGATTTCAAGTTTCATATAATTATGGTCACAGAAGATAATTGATATGCTTTCTGTCTTAAAATTCTTGAGACTTGTTCTGTGTCATAACATGTGGTGTATCCTAGAAAACGTTCCATGGACACTTGAAAAAAAATGTATATATGTAGCTTTGGTGTGGAATGCTCTGAAGATACCAATTAAATCCAACTGATCTCTTATGTCATTTAAGGCTGCAGACTCCTTGTTGATTTTCTGTTTGGAAGATCTATCCAGTGATATCAGTTGGGTATTAAAATCTGCTACTGTATTACTATCTGTAACTGTATTACTATCAATCTCTCCCTTAATGTCCATCAGGATTTGCTTTCCATATTTAGGTGCTCCTATGTTAGGTGTATAAATGTTTACATAGGTTATATCCTCTTTTTGGATTACTCCTTTTAACATTACGTAGTGTCCTTTTTTGCCTCTTAATATAACCTTGGTTTTAAAGTCTGTTTTGTCACATATAAGTATTTCTACCCCAGCTTTTTTATTCCTTACCATATGCACGAAATACCATTTCCATCTCTTTACTTTTAGTGTTTGTATATGTTTCATTCTGAGGTGGGTCTCTTGAAGACAGCATATACATGGGTCTTGTTTTCTTACCTATTAGCCACCTCTGTCTTTGATTGGAGCATTTAAGCCATTTACTTATAAAGTGGTTATTGATAGATATATATATATATATTTATTGTCATTTCATTTTTTAACTATGTTCTTCTGATTTCTCCTCCTTCTTTTCTTCTACTCCTTGTCTTCCTCCTCTTTCTTCTTTCCTCCTCTCTCCTTCATTTTGGTAACAAACTCCTTTCACTTTTTCTTGTCTGGGAAGCTTTTTACTTCTCCTTCAATTTTGAATAATAGCCTTGCTGGGAAAAAATAGCGTTGGTTGTCCTTGCTTTTCATTATTTTGAATATTTTATGCAATCTCTTCTGGCCTGAAATGTTTCTGTTTAGAAATCTGTCGACATTCTTATGGGAGCTCCCTTATAAGTACTGTCTGTCACTGGCCTTAGACAACCTGTTTGGAATTATCAGGAATCCATAGCTTATGGTTCCCTCTGCCGGGCCTGAGTGCTTGTGAAAAAAACCAAGATGCATACCAAGGACTGCTTTACTAGCCCCAGTCACAGGAGCAGGTTACCAAAAGTCTCAGAGCACTCAGAAATCTGCTTCTCCTGTAGACTCTCAGTTACTTAAAGAGCCACTGACTCTACTCCTCTGAAAGGATAAGCTCCATAGGGTGTATAGGGTGAGGAATGTATGTGGTTTTTTGGGGGGTTTTTTACAGCTAGATATGACAACACCATTTTACAGCTAGTTATGACAACACTATTTAAATATTCGAATACTATGTTTGTAACTCAATTTTCTGTCATTTTTAAAACTCTTTATTCTGTTCTGGTCTTTGGATCTCTTGTGTATTACTACTAAAATCATTTGATTAGAGTAACTTTATAAAAAACTAGGAGTCCAGCGCACAATTCGAAATCGCGCAGTGCTGCCCACCCTTGAGTTACTCGTCTTCCCTGCCTTGCTCCCTGGGTCCAGCCCTGCCTTCTCCTCCGGCCCTTGAAGCAGGCGCAGCTGCTGCTGATTCAGTACTGCCACCCCACCCCACCCCAACACATGCACAATCTCCTCCTGTCTGTTCAACCCGTTACAGTGTTCCAGTTAATTAGCATATTTTCTCTATTTTTTTTTATAGGTAGGTAGGTAGGTAGGTAGGTAGGTAGGTAGATAGATAGATAGATAGATAGATAGATAGATAGATATTGTAGATAGATATAGATAATAAGATCTGCTAAGCAAGTCCCCAGTTACTTTTGCAATGCACACATTCATTCTTCTTTGTGGACACACATAATTTTGTCCTTTAAAAATATTTTAGACCATTGTAATTCTGATTGGAATTATGTTAAATATAAGATCATTTGTTAAGATAAACATTACTGTACCATTGCAGAATTGTAAAGACAGTAATGCTTTATGATAAATAATAATATGATACATTCACATTTAAAATTTGATTCTCTTCTTATCCACATTTTGTGACTACTGTTAGAATAATAGATCAGAGGAATTTGCAGAGGCAAGCGATATTCTATTATCAATCAAGTCCTTTGTCAATGGGTAAATAGTATATTAGTTTTTCCTATAATGAAATGGAAAAGAATTCCATTAGTTAAGGTTTTTGTTTTTTCACACACACAAATAATTCTGTGTACTGAGTGAAAAGTTTTATTTTATATGTTGAAATTATTATACTTTCAACCTTTCTCTTCAATGTTTACATTTAGAAGCGATTGTTGGAAGCCATGGAGACATGTAACCACTTCCTCAAAAAAGAAGAGAGGAAAAGAAACCAACATAGTGAGTGCTTAATGTGCTGGTATGATAGAGACACAGAGTTCACCTACCCCTCTCCATGGCCAGAGAAATTCCCTGCCATAGAACGATGTCATACAAGGTAATGTTACTTCATAATTTTCAAAAACTGATAAGAGTCCCTACCTCATACCAAAAGTAAAAGTTTTTTAATATCTATTTGGAAAATTAATAAATCATTTATAATAGCTATACTAAATTATTTATAATGAATTATACCAACTTACATCAAGGACCATAGCATCTCTCTCTCTCTCTCTCATTTATATTGTTCTCTGCTTTCATCAGATTCTGCTTCTTTCTCTCCATCTTCTTCTGTTTTTAAGTATTTTCCTCCTGAGTATATATCTGTATTATTCTTCAAAAGGATATGTGAATTTTTGTTTCCATTTCCAGTGTCTGGTCCCAGCATTATTTGACATGCTATAACTCTTGCCCAGCCACCCAATTAGAAAGAAGAAGAAAAAGAAAGAAGGAGCTTTTCTATTTTCTTGCCTCAAACCCACATCTTCTTTATCTTCCTCATTAAAATGTACTCTTTTTTTTTTTTTCTTCTCTCTCTCTTCTCTCTTCTTCCCTGAAAATAATGTATTCAAGTGGTAGTTGAGTTGCAAAGAAAGTGAATATCTCTCAGTTATTTTTCATTGATTTTAGAGAGAGTGAGAGAGAGAGGAAAAGACAGAAACGTGGATGCAAAAGAAACACATGGATTAGTTGCCTCCCTGACCAGGGCCCAGGCGGGGGAGGAACCTGCAACCAAGGTATGTGTTCCTGACTGGAATAAAAACCCAGACTCTTAGGTCCGCAGGCTGATGCTCTATCCACTGAGAAATACTGGCCAGGGCAAGATTTTTTTCTTTTTTTAAAGCTAAGAGAAAGATGAGTAGACATTATAAAACATTTACGTTCTGGGTTTGGGGAGATGGAGGATATGGAGATTTGTAATATACTTAATACATCCCTTTATTTTTAAAATTAATTATATATGCATAATTTTGTTTTATATAAGTTTTGTTTTAAATGAGTGAGAAAACTTCCATTCAGTAACCTACAAATATGACTTTAAAACAAAACTACATATAAGTTTTGTTTTAAATGAGTGAGAAAACTTCCATTCAGTAACCTACAAATATGACTTTATGTCTGGACCAATAACAATACAGAATATAAGTTGTCCTACTCTGTATTTTCTTTGTTTGTTGAAGTAAATTGTCATTGCCTTATTTAAGCAAGGATGATTCTTGCAAAATATTCAAGGGAATACTGAAGAACTGTGATTGCTTATAATGTATGAGTTCTAAATTAAATGCTTTGATTTATTTTTTAGGTATAAAGTAATATCATTAGATGCTTGGCATGTAGATATAAACAAGAACAAAATAACCAGGGTTGACCAGAAGGCATTATATTTCTGTGGATTTCCTACTCTGAAACACATCAAACACAAAGTCAGTGGCTATTTAGTTCAGAATTTTCCCCCCTACTTTATTGAATATTAAGTGATTATGGAGAAAGTTGAAATTAAATTTCCTGAACTTTTTAAAAGTTTTTTTTGAAGAAAAGCGGAGTTCAAGTATTCCAGCAGAGCAGTCGTGGAGAAAACATGATGTTGGAAATCTTAGTGAATACAGAATCAGATGAAGTTGTAAGTATGTCCTTTATTATATATTTGTTATGTGTTAATTATGCATAAAAACTGTCCTAACTATAACATGTTTATAAGAGGTCTGATATAGTTTCTCCAAAAATTCACAGTAAATAAGGATAAAGTAAAAAAACATTTACACAAATAAAAGGACATGTATAATTGTGACATAAAGAGAAAAAAAATGCCTCATGAACTTTGAAAAGTAGATGAGCTGTGTGAGCCAAGTGTAGACCTGTAGATAAGAATAGACTTGAACTGGGTGCTAACGAAAAGATCATCACATTGAGGAGAAAAGTAAGGGAAAGGTATTTTAGTTTAAAGGAATAATAACAAGGCCTGGGAATTGCCATCAAATGTAAGTGTGATGCATTATCTTACTCTTTTTAACCTTTTTGTATGTGTGGAATTTTCCTTAATACTGTTTGTTTGTTTGTTTTTTCGGTTTTTTTTTTAATAAATATGATGTATTTAAGGAGAAGGAACAGATAAACCTGACTGAAGTAAAGGACTTGGGTTGGGGAAATAGTGGAAGATAAGTTTGAAGATACAAACTCAGCCAGATTATGGATACCAGGCTCTAGACGAGTTTAGACTTCTTTTAAGCAGTGTTATCTTGAAATTGGTATTCTCTTAAAGGTTAATTTGGTGGCAGTATAAATAGACTAAATTGCACAAGAGAGAAATGGAAGAAAATGGAAAAAGCCTGCAAGTTCAGAGATTGTGGTTATAGAAGCATTAGGCAATAAGGACATAAATTGTGGAAGTTGTAATAGATCTAGGTCAGCAATTTTCAACCTTTTTCATCTCACAAGACACCAAAAAATATATTTACTGCCCATCTGTCAAGAAAAATAGGTATAATTTTGATTCATTCATACCTAATAGCTATTGCTCTATTGGCTATCATTTTTTTTATTTGACAATCTAAGGGAAAAGAGGTCAATGTGTCTTACTAAATAGTTAAGTACTGCATGTTTTAAAAATTCTTGTGGCATACTGGTTGAAAATCGGCAGTCTTAGATGAACAAGACTAAATAAAATTGGCATTTTAAAAAATATGTTTTTATTCATTTCAGAGAGAAAGGGAGAGGGAGAGAGAGATAGACACCTCCATGATGAAAGAGAATCATTGATTGGCTGCCTCCTGCACACCCCACACTGGGCATGGAGCCTGCAACCCAGGCATGTGCCCTTGGCTGGAATTGGACCTGGGACCCTTCAGTCCACAGGCCGATGTTCTAGTCACTGAGCCAAACCAGCTAGGGCTAAAATTGACATTTGATCAGTTGTTTAAATCTAGTAGTTGAGAAGAAAAATAAAATATTAAATGTAACTCTTAGGATCCATGCTAATTAACTAGAAAATAATTGCTATTTACTGAAATAAAAAAGTTAAAATGGGAGAGTCCCTGATGTGAAGGGATTCATGATAAATAATGATGGAATTTTAAGATAATGCTACAACTTGTAACTACAGCTGCCCTGCCAGCTTTTCTTAACAAGGGATCCACAGAAATTTAAACCCTAATGCCCTAAATCACATGTGTCAAACACAAGGCCCGCGGGCCAAATCCGTCCCGCCAGGCCTTGCAATGTGGCCCGCACCACGCTGTCATCAACTGCACTCCGCTGCGTTTCCATCACAATGACAGTTTATGACTGTTCAGTAAACCATTCGACCCGCGATTTAGGCTGGATTTTAGATTTTGGCCCCTTCTCTGATTGAGTTCGACACCCCTACCCTAAATCATCCAATTGCATATACTGGATTAAACTTACCTTCTGCATTTAGAATGGTGCTTTTTATGTACTACCTTTGGGAAAATTGAGAAAATATTATAGTAAAAGTGACAGTGTTCAGAGAAGTAAAAGAGAATGATTCCCAAGTTATTAGTATCACAGAAGCATGAAATAGATGATGTATATGGTTCAAGAATAAAAAAAAACTAAAACCACGTCTGAATTTGTCCTTTAGGCACCATTTTTGGCTTTTGATAATTCCATTCTTATAGATTGGTGGAGGCTGAAATTCCTAAGGATTAGTCTGGGACTGCATAGTTGGAAAGTAGAGGTAGCAGCAATTAAGCCCGTGGTTAAGAACTTGATCTTTAAAAGAAGGCTAGAAACAAAACTGTAGGTAGAGAAGAGGCAGTTCATCAAGCAAAATTCAAACAGAAGAGAAATAGGGCTAGTAGAGAAAGGAGGTAGGTATTAAAAGTACTGCAAAGGGGCCCGGCTGGTGTGATTCAAGTGGTTGGGCAGCTAGTGTTCCTATTTTGTTACATCAACCACAAAGTCAAAAGAAGTCAGACTTCTTAGGTTCTGTTTTATACTGTCTGGCTATTTGATATGAAAAAATGAATAATAGCCTTTTTCTAGACATTTCTGTTTTTGTTTTGTTTTTTCATTTTCAATAAGAAAAATAAGATAATCGTGAAATAATGGAATCATGGAATTTTACAACTAAGATGGGGTTTTGTAAAGCAACTAACTAGTTCAACTCATTAATTTTACAAATTAAAAAACTTAAGTGGAAATTGAAAAAGAGACATTAACTTGTTATGCCTAGATTTCGTGATCCCTAAAGACCACCAGGGAGCTGAGTCCAATGCAAAAGCAAAAGAGTCCTTTTCAGGCTCACCTGAGCTCACCCCCCACATACTGACACAGCGACAAGATGGAGGAAGAAGACGTGTTTCTCTAGAACAAAGGATTTATAGGGGTGGTGAGGTCACTGCTTTGGCTGACCCTGGTTGATTGGGTGAGGGCTAGGGTCCAGTTACATAGTGACATAGTTATACAAAATGGAGGATGTAGCACAAGATGGAGTCAGGAGTTGGTCCCACACTGCCCCACAGTACAAATTGGAGTCAGGAGTTAACCCTGTCCTGCCCTCTCACACTCAGCTAGTTAGCAGCAAAACTAAGAACTTAAGTTTCTTGCTGAACATTGTTTTTGCTTAATGTTTTCTATTATTATGGACAGTAATACATTAAGGATCAGCACTCTTATTTTACTGAAACTTATTTTCTCACCATGTAATTTAAGTTAGGTTAGAATCAGTGGGCTGCTCTATGAATTAACTGCTACTGCTGTTGAGAAAATGAATAGAAAGCAAGCTTTCTAGAGTGCTGATGTATATACTGCAAAAAAGTAGTTTACGTTGGTCAAACTGTCTGTAATAAGAATACATTGGCAGAGAGGAAGGTAAACTTGGTTCACTTATACAGATTCATACTGAATTAAAAGGTGAGCAAAGGCATTTTAGGTAAAAACAACTGAAAATAATTTTTAAAAAAGAAAGGAAAAAATTTAAACTTTAAAAGATCTCAAAAGTCTTGGAGAATGTACTAGAAAGAAAAAGAAGAGAAAATTAGTTGAATTTCAGTGGATGTAAGATTTAAGTTGGAATAAAGTTGAGAAGAGCAGCACAACTAAGAACTATAGGGAATAGGTATTAGAGGGAATAATTGACTCAAGTGAGCAAATGTTTTATCTGTTTTAATATTTTATACATTTTAAATGCACAGTTATAAACACAAACCATTTTAAAATTAATATGCTTCTTTAAAATTTTCTCCTGGACATGACATGAACTTCTCTGCTTTTACTTTAAGAGTGTAGAAAATGTAGCATCATCGGTGCTTGGAAAGTCTGTCTTTGTTAATTGGCCTCATCTTGAAGAAGCCAGAGTTGTTGGTATATCCGATGGAGAAACCAAGTAAGATTTTATTTATAACTCTTTTTCAATTTATATTTGCTTTGCTATTTAATGGCTTTAATACATTTTTAGCGGATAGAATTGTTGATATGTTTATACTCTATAGTAAAAATGAAATCACAGCACTTGAAGTTGAAACACTGTTGCAGTTTATTGTATATTTCTTGACATATTTTAGATTCATTTATTATTTTTCACTTTTGCCTTCTTTTCCTTTTAATAGCTTGGAAGTTCTATAGCCTAATTTTTTTCTACCAGTTATCATTATGTTATTTACCAAATATATTTCTCTTGATGACAACAATGAGTAGCATATATAGGGTATCCCCAAAAAATATATATACACGTCAAATGATTCTAAAGTCGGTGTTCATTAACATACCATTCATTTTTCAAAATTTAAGAGAATCTACAGCAATGAATAATATTTTTGGTCAATGTCTTTTTTAAACATATGATGTTCTGGTCCAGGCATTGCTGATAATTGAAGCAATGGAATCACAAACATCAGGAATCATTTCGTTTGGTATTTGTGTGCCTTCAATTCATCAATTGTTGCCAGTTTTATACTTTTAATGTTATCTTCTATGTATCTCCATAAAATTGTCTAGTGGATACATTTTTTTGTTCAGTATTTTTAATACCTATCTCCTTTCTCCACTAGCTTTATTTCTCTTTTGTTTGAATTTTGCTTGATGAACTGCCTCTTTTATACCTACAGTTTTGTATCTGCCTTTAAAAAAAAAAATACATTTTATTGCTTTTTTACAGAGAGAAGGGAGAGGGATAGAGTCAGAAACATCGATGTGAGAGAAACATTGATCAGCTACCTCCCGCACACCTCCCTCTGGAGATGTGCCTACAACCAAGGCACATGCCTCTGACCAGAATAGAATTGGAGACCCTTCAGTCTGCAGGCTGACTCTCTATCCACTGAGCCAAATCAGTCAGGGCTAGCCTTCTTTTAAATGATAAATGAGAGTGTTCCCCCCATGTCTAGCTTGGTTCAGGGTTCAGGTTCAGGGTTTGGGCTCTGAGGAAACATACATGAGAGAGACTAGAAAATATTAATTTGGGAATATTGGGGGCCAGGCAGGAGCCCAGCTCCAGAGGAAGGACTCTGCTCTGGCCTTGCGATCCCTTTTATTCAGGTTTGGGATCCACCCATAGCTCTTAGGCTGGCAATTCCAGTAATAGCTGCATGATAGCCCATCAGCAAGGATTTACATAAGACTAAAAGGTGGAAGTTGCCACCAACTAGACTGTGGGCTCTGACCTTTCAGAGCTTCAAGGTTGACCAGCCTTCTGGTTCCTTGTCCACATCTCTCTGCTAGTGAAGAAAATGGGCAGCTTCCAACAGATAAACTTCATAATCATGGGCTTAATGGCTACTACTCTACATTACATCCAACTTTGTCTAACTTCACCCATTATTTCAAATCAGTTAAACCTGAAAAGGAATGAAAGTTAAGTGAGTTATTAGCTGTTAAAGCGTGTCCCCTTAAAAATGTTCAAAGCTTAGTCTGGCTGAAAAGAAAGGAACATCAGTTGAGCTATCAGCTGTTAAACTGTATATACATGTTTGGGGGGTACTCTATATACAACCTTACCTTTACCATGCCCATCCTAGTCTTCTTTTACATAATAATTTTTTTAAACACTATTTTCTATTTTAAAAACAACTTTTTAAAATTTTATTCAAATTTACAATCATTTTGTCAGTGATTATTTAGGCTAGTTATTCTTTGTCATCTTTATCTTTATTTCATATAAACTTGATCTGATTTCTTTTTTTTTAAAATATATTTTATTGATATTTTACAGAGAGGAAGGGAGAGAGATAGATAGCTAGAAACGTCGATGAGAGAGAAACATCGACCAGCTGCCTCCTGCACACCCCCCACCGAGGATGTGCCTGCAACCAATGTACACGCCCCTGACCAGAATCGAACCTGGGACCCTTCATTCCGCAGACCTACGCTCTACCGCTGAGCCAAACCGGTCTCGGCTTGATCTGATTTCTTATTCTTTTATTTTCATGTAATTTTTTTTTCCAAGAGAAAAATGAGGGGATCTTGTGTTTTCTGAGTTATTATGTGATCAAATGATCTCTTTTATTTTCTTCCCACATAGGTTTAGAATTACAGAGGCCCAGTTATTTTTCTTCAGATCTGTACAAACATATCTTAATTATGTTCTGTCATGTGATTTTCTTAATGAGAATTCAATGTCAGTATGAATTTTTCTTTTGTGGGTATTTTCTTTTTTGTATGAAATTGTGAGGATTCTTTTTAAGTCATCAGAATTCAGTCCCTTTGCCTTCTCAATGAAATCCATTTTATCAGTTTTTTTATTTTGTGGATCATGCTTTTGGTTTAAGAACTCTTTACGTAGTCCTAGGTACCTGAGATTTTTCTCCTATATTTCAAATAGTTTCATTCATTTTACATTTAAACCCATGATCTGTGAGTTAATTTTTATACAAATATAAGGTTTAGATAAAAATTCCTACATTTGCCTATGAATACTTAATTGCTTCAGCATCATTGTTTGAAAGGAATATTTCCTCATAAGATTGTTTTTACACCCTGGCCAAAACAGTTTAATACCATGTGATTTTACTCATCTATGGAATCGTAAGAACAAAATAAACAAAATCAAAAAAATAGACTCATAGATGCAGAGAACAAACTGATGATTGCCAGAGGAAGGAGGAGACTGATGAACTGGATGAAAAGGGTAAAGAGATTAAGAAATACAAATTGGTAGTTATAAAATAGTCACGGGGTTGAACAGTAGACTGTAGGGAATATAGTCAATTATTGTAAGAACTATGTTTGGTGCCAGGTTGGTACTAGACTTAACAGGAAGAATCACTTTGTAAGTTATATAAATGTCTAACAACTATGCTGTTCTATTCACCTAAAAGTAATATAAAATAATATTGAATGTCAACTGTAATTGAAAGAAAAAATATTAGTTCAGTCGAGCACATTTGTGTGGCTCTACTACTTCTGAATTCTCCATTCTGTTCCAGTGATCTGTTTCTCTGTCTTTTGTCTTATTACTGTAGCTATGTAGTAAGTCTTAAATTTAGGTAGACTATTCCTTCCATCTTATTTTTATTTTTCAAAATTGCATTAGCTTTTTGTTCCTTTGCCTTTTTATATAAATTTTAGGACAAATTATTCTAAACATATAAAAATCATGGAGATATTTTCATAGGAATTGTATTAACTCTATAAATTAATTTGGGGGAGATTTAACATCTTTACTGTGTTGAATCTTTTTACCCAGTGGATCCATTCATCAGTGTTTTGTTTTTCAGCATACATATTCTGTACATATTTTGTTAGATGTACATCTTAGTATTTAAATTACTTGGGAGCAACTGAAGAGGTATTTAAGTTTTCTCAGGTAGTATATAGAAATACAGTTGGTTTCTATTTATTGATTTTATATCCTAGGACGTAACTGAATTTACTTTTTTTTTTTTTTTTTTTTTTTTTTTTTTTTTTTAAGAATGCAAGCCAGTATTTTCTAGGATTTTGGATTTACCTGGCCATTTTGTCTTAGTGTCACTTAGATGGATCCTCCATTCCACATATTTTCTGTAAACTGGAGCTAGGTGTAGTGGCTTATAGAATCAAGTTAAACTGTTTTAGCAAAAATACTTTATTGAATTTGAGAATACTTTATAATCTTTATATTTTTTAAAAAATATTTTATTGATTTTTTACAGAGAGGGATAGAGAATTAGAAACATCGATGAGAGAGAATCATCAATCAGCTGCCTCTTACACACCCCCTACTGGGGATGTGCCAGCAACCAAGGTACATGTCCTTGACTGGAATCGAACCTTTCAGTCCACAGACCGATGCTCTGTCCACTGACCCAAATCAGTTTTGGCTCTTTATATTTTTGTTGTATATTTAGTTTTGTGTCTTAAGAGAGAAAAAATATTAATTTGTTTTTAAATTTTGATTGAATTTATTTTTTTAAATGTATTTTATTGATTTTTTTACAGAGAGGAAGGGAGAGAGAGAGTTAGAAACATCCATGAGAGAGAGTCATTGACCAGCTGCCTCTTGCACACCCCCTACTGGGGATGTGCCCGCAACCAAGGTACATGCCCTTGACTGGAATCGAACCCGGGACCCTTCAGTCCCCAAGCCGACGCTCTATCCATTGAGCCAAACCGGTTTCGGCAAATTTTGATTGATTTATACAAGATTTTGTTCTGTAATTTATAGTACAATTTTTAAAAAGATGGCCTTTTGTTCTATTATACCATGTAGAAACCTTTTTACTTTGAAGATTTATACCACTTGAACTCTATATTAAACCACAGATTTTTGGGTAATATAATTTTTATATGAATTCTTAAGGTTTTTCATGGAAGAACCTCCAGGCATACAGAAGCTTTATCTGGGAAGAACTGCTCCACCATCTAAAGTGGTTCATCTTGGAGACAAAGAACAATCTAACTGGACAAAAGAAGTACAAGGAATTTCAGAATAGTGAGTATCATTAAAAGTATTTAATATCACAGAACTAGAATGGGATTTAATATATTTATCTTCTAATTATTTTCCATTTAACAAAGTAATCACTCTGAATACTGACTACATCTTCATTTTATGCTCTAAAGAAAGTAATAAGTTCTAGTTTAAAATAATATCTTGTTAGCAGCGGTTACAGCCTTGCTCAATTTGTCATTGAAATACTTCATTATGAACAGAAAAAGGAAATACATGATCATTTAGTACTGTGAATAACAGTTAATAGATTGTTGCCGGAATTTGAGAATTATTTTTACTAACAAAGCCATTGAATTTCTTGGCCACATGTAAGAAATAAATATAGGAGGGAACACTGTACTTGGATTCCCACCTTCTTGCTTACCCACTTCCCTTCACCAAGCCCATATGCTCTGGAATTCAGAAATGTAAGATTTGTGTCAACCAAATAACCTAAAAGCTAACCCTCTTCAGTATGCTTATTTCCAGCATCACCATGATTCCACCCTAATAGTTCCTCTCTTTCTTCATTTAAACACTAGGATTTCCACAACCAAAACAATGATAGACTGGCAGTGACACATGAAATCCTATATAATAAAGAGCTAATATGCTAATAGTCATCATGCCATAACAACTGATCAGTAGGAGCTGTGTACTCTGTTAGGCACACAGGGATGAGCGGGAACTTGATGCTGCTACTTCCAGAAAAAGCCTCAGCGGCTGTCTGAGGCTCAGGCAAGCCATGGATGGTGGCTGCCACTGGCCAGGGCCAGCCTAAGGCTCAGGCAATGAGGGCCAGGTTGAGGCTCAGGCAAACCACAGTGACTATAAGGGCTAAAGCTCATGTAGCGGTGCAGCTGGCAGTAGCAGCAGCAGAAGCATGATGGGGGTGTTGCCTCCCACAGATGGAAGCCAGCAGCAGCAAGTGGGTAATGGGGATGGTGCTGTCCCCTGATTGGCTGTGGGGAGCAGGTCAGTAGGACATCCCCTGTGAGAGGGGGCAGACTGGGTTGAGGGACACACACACACACACACACACACCCCAGTGCACAAATTCTCATGCACCGGACCTCTAGTGGTATTATAAATGTACAAGAGGTCTGGTGCATGACATTCTTGTATGGCGGGTGGGGGTGGTGGTGTCCCTCAGCCCAGCCTACACCCTCTTCATTCTGGGATACCTCTTACAGTCCAGGACTGCTGGCTCCCAACTGCTCACCTGCCTCCCTGACTTCCTGATTGCCCCTAACTGCTTCTGCCTGCCAGTCTGGACACCCCTTAACCACTCCCCTGCCAGCCTGATTGATGCCTAACTGCTCCCCTGCCAGCCTGTTTGCCCCTAACTGCCCTCCCCTGCAAGATTGATTGCCCCCAACTGCCCTCCCTTGCGTGCCTGGTGTCTCCCAACTGCCCTCTCTTGCCTGATCACCCCCAACTGCTCTCCCTTGTAGGCCTGGTCCCTCCCAACTGCCCTCCCCTATTGGCCATCTTGTGGTGGCCATCTTCTGTTTACATAAAGGCAGGATCTTGAACCACATGGGGGCAGCCATCTTGTATATTGGAGTGATGGTCAATCTGCATATTACTCTTTTATTAGATAGGATAGAGGCCTAGTGCATGGGTAGGGACCAACTGGTTTGCCCTGAAGGGTGTCCTGGATCAGGGTGTCCCTTGAGGCATGGGGCAGTCTGGGAGAGAGGCCTGTGGTGGTTTTCAGGCCAGTCACACCCCCTGGTGATCCAAGCAGAGGCCGGTATCTGAAATTTATTTACCTTCTACAATTGAAACTTTGTAGCCTGCAGTGGAGCCAAGCCTTCTGCTTGCTCCATGGCTGCTGCAATTTCTGTTTGGATTTGTTTACCTTCTATAATTGAAAGTTTGTAGCCTTGAGTGTAGGCTTAGGCCAGCAAGGCAGGCGGAAAGCTTGGCTTTTTCCATTGCCTGGGAAACTCAAGCCTCCCTCCTGCTCTGTGGTTGCAGCCATCTTGGTTGGGGTTAATTTGCATTCTTGCTCATATTGGATGGTGGACATGGCATGTGGGTGTAGGGGAGTTATGGTCAACTTTCATATTGCTCTTTTATTAGATAAAATATCCATCTGTCCTCCTGTTTAAACTGTAATAGCATTCACTATAGAAGAGGAGGAACCTATTCTACAATTTGGAGCTAATACCAGGCTATAATATCCTTATTCAAAGATGAGTAAACAGGAAAAATCTAAAAAAAAAAAAAAATCTATTGTAAATGAAGAAGGTAAATATCTCTCAGGAGGTAAAGCCTTCCAACAGTATCAGAAGCCCCTGTTATAGTTCATATCTTTCTGAATTTTTTATAGCACAAATAAAAATCATAACAATAAATTTATTTTATTGATTACCTTAACCTTTTTTTTTTTACATAGTAGGTTCCATAAGGTAGGGAACATATCTGTTTTTATCACTACTCTTGGCTCTCATTCCTTGGCATTCAGTAATTATTTGTTTGAATGAAATAGAGATTATCTTAGTTAAGATTCTTAATAGAAAAAAAAACATTCAAAATACTATGAGTTTAGTCATTTATTTATATAACAACTCAATTATTAATATGTGCTGAATACAGTAGTTGGCAATATACCATCTACATTTATAAAAGAGAAATATGCAAGTTGACTATAACTTTGTGAAGCCCACCACTAATCAGGAGTGAGTAATCAAATTAACCCAACAAATATGGCAGGTTAATTTGCATATGCAGGTGCCAAGCATTTGGGGGCAAGGCAGGACACTTGTGTTGCCTCCTTGGCAACAACACAGGCGTTCCACACCCCCCAGGTGGCTCCGGGCCATAGTAAAGGCAGTGCCAGCATCCAGGGAAAGGAAGGCCTATTCTTGCACAAATCTTAATGGATCAAGCCTCTAATATTCAATAAAATCCTACAGTCCTTATAGTCATTAAATTTACAGCTGGTAGATGGGTTATGAATGTTAATGTCTTGTGTGGTTTGTTTTTTTTTAATCACACTGAATCTATGATAATTACACTGAAGGAGTAGTACCATGAGACCATATAATAGCAGGGCTTGACCTAATTAGTAAAGAATTTGCTCTAGTTAGATAAAACTTTCCTGAGGAAGTGTAGATCAAACTGGTACTTAAATGTGGCGTAGGATTTGGTCAAAGAGTGAAAAAGAAGCATATTTTACTATGAGTGACGAGTTACATGCAAAATCCCTGTGGCACAAGGAAAAGCAGTATGTGTCCTGGCTAATGTGGCTACAGTGTTGGAATCAAGAAGGAAGATGAGGCATGGGAAACAAAAGAGGCAAGCTGAAAGGTAAAATAAAAGCCAGGAGATTTATATGTTATACTGTGGAAATCAAAGAAAAAAGGTGTTTCAAAAATAAGGGTATAAGACATGTAAATGTTTTGTAAAGATTAAGCAAGAGCTATTTTGGTTAAGAAAGGGGTCTTGCCCTGTGCCCACATGGGCAGTTACGCTGAATTTGAACCTGGGTGTGTGAACTTGGGGAGTTTATTTCCTGCAACTAGATTCCACACCCACACAGGGAAACTGCACTGTATTTGAGCCTGGGTGCAGGGACACGGGGAGTTTCCTTCCTGTAGAGAACCAGACCCCATACCCACAATAAGGGGCAGTGCCATCTGGCTTTGATTCAGGGCAAGCGAACACAGAAGGCTGTTTAACTCAGGGCAGAAGTGGACCTTCTGCCAACATAGTGAGAATGAGCAACCCATTCTCCCAGGCAGATCAGGGACCCTGAAGCTCCAGGCAAGAGACAGCAATGAGCAACAGTGACTGGACTTCGTTCTTCATTACATGCACCTTGAGATCCCTGATTCCCAGTACGTTCAAACTAAAAACGTACTGGGAATCAGGGATCTTGGCACATGTTCACACAGGGACTTGATTCTTAGTGTGAGGTAGCACCAAGAAACAGAAACTCTGATACTTGAATCTTGGCATGGACACAGGGAGCCTCTGACTCCTGACATGCAATAGGGGACTTTGACTTTTGGCAAATGCCAGTGGGTTCTCTGTTTCAATGTGGCTCAAGCAGGGTCCCTTATTCTAGGTGCACACACGAGGCCACACTAAGCACCAGTGACTCTGACCCAGGGCTAGCATGGTTCCCACCAACCCACAGCAACCGCACATCTTGGTATCAGAGCTCTTCAGTGACACTTGGAGGTGCAAAATTCCCACTGCACACAGTCCAGGCCCCAGCAACTCGACATCTGAACCTTCTGGTCATAATCAGAATGGGTAGACAACAAAGCAATCCCCAGAGGAGAAACAAAAGGAGGCATCACCAAGTTTGGAAATAAGTGAAACAGAAGCATGCAACATGACAGAAAAAGAATTCAAATTAATGGTCCTATAGTGCATACACCAGATGGACAAAAAAATCAACAACCTATGCAAAAATCAGGAAGAAAGAAAAAATGATATAGCTATAATCAAAAACACCATGGAACACTTCAACAGTAGACTAGAGGAAGCAAAGGACAGAATCAGCAAGTTAGAAGATCAGGAACAGAAACAAGCCCAATCTGAACATCAACTAGAGAAAAAATTAAAAAGCAGGAGGAGTCAAAACCGGTTTGGCTCAGTGGATAGAGCGGCCCCTGTGGACTGAAAGGTCCCGGGTTTGGTTCCGGTCAAGGGCATGTGCCTTGGTTGTGCAAGAGGCAGCTGATCGATGTGTTCTCTCATTGATGTTTCTAACTCTCTATCCCTCTCTCTTCCTCTCTGTAAAAAAAATCAAAATATATTAAAAAGAAATAAAAAAAAATAAAACAGGAGAAGAGCCTAAGGGAGCTTTGGGACAATGCAAAATGAAATAACATACATAAGTTGGTCCGAAGGTTGTGGGTTATTGTTAAGCTGAAATAACATACATATACTCTTTTTCCCTGAAAATAAGACAGTGTCTTATATTAATTTTTGCTCCCAAAGATGCACTAGGTCTTATTTTCAGGGGATGTCTTATTTTT